ACGAAGCGTGAACAATACATACATTTGCAGTAGACGTACATACGTGTGAGTAAAGAAAAAAAGAAAAAGAAAAAGAAAAAAGGAGAAAAGAAAAAACGAGTATACGGAGTACATGTAAAAGAGCGGCGTGCAGCATCGGTTCAAAGCGCGCGGCTACAAAGCGTAGGCCATCGGACGGGAAATATGCATAGGTAGGTAGTTGGGTACGAAAGATATACACACGTTAGGTAGCGTACGTACGCACGTATGCGTGCAAAGTAGGTAAGAAGACACGGTGAGCAGGGTGAGCAGGGTGAACGAGATGGAAGGTAGGGAAGATCGAGAAAGGGAGAAGAGGAGCAAGAGGCAAGGAGGCAAGGAGGCAAGGAGGCAAGGAGGCGACGATGGAAGAAAAGGAACATTGCGGCTGGTCGTGTCAGTGTGTGTGTGTGTGTGTGCGCGCGCGCGCGCGTGCGTCCAATGCCAGTGGAACGCGACGATTCGCTTTCTGGCTGTAACTCGCTAGTCAGAGAGCTTGGGCCACACCGTGAGTTCGCCAACGAACTCGCGGCGTTATCTAGATCGCGGCGGCGAATTTCATTCGTTCTAGGGCTGATTGTGCGACGCCCTAGATGAACAAGAGCCACACATCGCGCAGCCGTTCACCAGAAAGAAATCGCGTTACGTTCTTGCCGATTCTTGCCATCCGAACAGTCGTGTCTCTCTCTCGTTCGTTTCCAGTGTATTCTGAATCTCGCGTATTACATACCGATCTACTAGCACATTACTGCCGCTCTTGCCGCTCGTTATCGTTCCAACGGGCGTTCAAACGTCGTCGTAATCATTCTGCTACTCGACCTCGTCGGCGTTTTTGTGTGAACCAACATTCCAACTCTTTATGCGCTTTGTCGTTACTTGAAACTATGAAGTGGTATGTGATCATCTCTCTCTTCCAGATACCCTCCCGAATTCCACTCGCACCCGCTCGATCCTTTCTCCTCCCTTTTTCCTTCCTTGTTTCCAGCAGCAGCCAACCTCTGTGTTCCTGTTTCTGTTCCTATATATACATATATATATA